ACCACTGGACCAATAAACATTATTATTAATGGAGAAAAGACTGAAGTTGTCAAAGACTTCATCTTTCTCAGATTAACCATCAACACCCATGGAAGTTGTTGTTGTTGTTGTTGTTAAGTGCCGTCGAGTCGGTTCCGACCCATAGCGACCCTGTACAGGGTTTCCGAGGGTGTAAATCTTTACGGGAGTAGAAAGCCTCATCTTTCTCCCGCGGAGCGGCTGGTAGTTTCGAACCGCTGACCTTAAGGTTCGCAGCCCGATTCGTAACCACTACGCTACCAGAGCTCCTTACCCATGGAAGTAGTAGTAAAGAAATCAAACAATGTATTGCACTAGGCAAATCTGCTGCACAAGACCTTTTTAAAGTGTTGAACAGCAAATATTTCAGTTTGATGACTAAGGTGTGTTTGACCTAAGCCATGGTATTTTCAATAACACGTGCAAAAGTTGGACAGTGAATAAGGAAGATTGTAGAAGAATTAATGCATTTGAGTTAAAGTGTTGGAGGAGAATATTGAAAGTACCATGGGCTGCCAAAAGAACAAACAGATCTGTGTTGGAAGATGTGCAGCCAGAGTGCTCCTTGGAGGCCAGGATGGCAAGACTTCGGACCAGTCGCTGGAGAAGGATATCATGTTTGGTAAAGTGGAGGGTCAGAGAAAAAGAGGAAGACCCCCAGCGAGATAAATTGGCAGACTGGCAGCATCAATGGACTCAAGTGTGGCAACAATCATGAGGTTTACCCAGGATCGGGCAGTGTTTCATTCTGTTGTTCACAGGGTCGCTATGAGTAGGTACTGACTTGATGGCACCTAACAACAACAGTGCCATCAAGTCAGTTCTGTCTGACAGCACGTCTGCATAGGGTTTCCAAGGAGTGGCTGGTGGGCTTGCACTGCAGACCTTGCAGTTGGCTTGGCAACTCCATGGGGTAGTTCTATTCTGTCCTATAGAGCCACTATGAGTTGGAATCGATTCAACAGCGAAGAGTTTGGTTTTGGTTAGTGGAGCCAACAGGTCCTTGTGTGGTGCAAATGGTTGGCACTCTGTGTTGCTGCAGAAGCCAGGCTGGTCTGCTTCTGTAAAGATTACAGCCAAGAAAACATTATGGAACAGTTCTACTCTATAACAGATGGGTGACCAGGAATAGGAACAGCAGAAAAAGGAGAAGAGAGCTAGCTGAGGTCATTTCTATATGTGAATCATTCATTAAGTTGTACCTTAGAAAATGGCATCAAGATGTTGAAGAGTTGTTAATAGATAACACAGGACAAACAACATGAAACTACTGTTGTTGTTGTTAGGTGGCATTGAGTCGGGACCAACTCAGAGCGACCCTAGGCACAACAGAACAAGAAACTGCCTCATCCTGCGACAACCTCACAATTGTTACTACATTTGAGCCCACTGCTGCTGCCACTCTGTCAGTCCATCTAGTTGGGGGGGTCTTCCTCTTTTTCTCCAACCCACCGCTTAATGAAATATGATATTCTCCAGGGACTGGTCCCTCCTGACAATATGTCCAAAACATGAGAGACGGAGTCTGGCCATTTTTGCTTCCAAGGAGCATTCTGGCTGTACCTCTTCCAACACAGACTGGTTTGTTCTTTTGGCAGTCTATGGTACTTTTAATTTTAAAAACTCAAATGCATCAATTCTTCTAATGTCTTCCTTATTCACTGTCAAACTTTCATCTGCATAAGAGGTTACTGAAAATACCATGAGTTGGGTAAGGCACACCTTAGTCCTCAAGCTGACATCTTTTCTCTTCAACCCTTTAAAGAGTTCTTGTGCAGCAGATTTCCCAAATGCAATACGTCGTTTAATTACCTGACAGCTACTTCTGTGAGTGTTGATGGCTAATCCCAGCAAAATGAAGTCTGACAACTTCAATCAATTCTCCATTTATATAGGTGTTGCTTATTGGTCCAGTAGTACGGATTTTTGTCTTCTTTACATTGAGGTGCAACCCATACCAAAGACTGGATTCTGACCTTCATCAGTAAGTATTTTAAGTCCTCTTCACTTTCAGCAAGCAAGATCGTATCATCTGCATATCGCAAGTTGTTAATGAGTCTTCCTCCAATCCTGATGCCACATTTTTTCTTATTATTCTAGCTTCTCAGATTATGTTCTCATCATAAAGACTGAGTAAGTATGGTGAAAGAATACAACTCTGTCACACACCTCTGCAAATTTTAAACCAGTGTTCTCTTGTTTCTGTTCAAACAGCTGCCTCTTGCTCTATGTACAGGTTCCTCATGAGTACAATTAAGTGCTCAGGAGCCATCATTCTTTGAAATGTTGTCCATAGCTTGTTATGATCCACACAATCGAAAGCCTTTGCATAATCAATAAAGCACAGGTAAACATCTTTCTGGCATTTTCTACTTTCAGTCAAGATCCATTTGATGTCAGCAATGATATCCCTCGTTCCACATCCTCATCTGAATCCGACTTGAACCTCTGGAACTTCTCTGTCAATGTACGCTTGTAACCATTTTTGGATTGTCTTTAGCAAAATTTTACTTTTATGAGATGTGAATGATAGTGGCTGATGACTTCTGCATTCCGTTGGGTCACCTCTTTGATGTAGGCACAAATATGGATCTCTTCAAGTCAGTTGGCCAAGTAGTTGTCTTCCAAATTGCTTGGCATAGATGAATGAATGTCTCCAGTGCTTCATCTGTGTATTGAAAGATTTCAATTTGTATTCCATCAATTCCGGGAGCCTTGTTCTTTGTCAATGCCTTCAGTGCACTTTGGACTTCTTCCTTCAGTATCATTGGCCCTTGATCATATGCTATCTCTTGAAATGATTGAACACCATCCATTTATTTTCAGTACAGTGGCTCTGTGTATTCTTTCCATCTTCTTTTGATGCTTTCTGTATCATTCAATATTTTGCTCATGGAATTCTTCAATATTACAAATTGAGGCTTGAATTTTTTTCTTCAGTTCCCTCAGCTTGAGAAATGCTATTGGTGTTCTAACTCCTATTGGTGTTCTAACTCCAGGTCTCTGCACATTTCATTATAATATATGACTTTGTTTTCTCGAGCTACTCTTTGAAATTTTCTGTTCAGCTCTTGTATCTCCTCATTTCTTCCATTTGCTTTAACATCTCTATGCTGGAGAGCAAGTTTCCAAGTCTCTTCTGATATCCATTTTGATCTTTTCCTTATTTTTGTTTTCTTAATTACCTTTTCCTATATGATTTTCTTGATGTTATTCTGTAACTCCTATGGTCTTTGGTCTTTAGTGTCTAATGTATCAAATCTGTTCTAAGGATGATCTTCTAATTCAGATTGGATATGTTCAAGGTCATATTTTGGCTATCATGGACTTGTTTTAATGTTCTTCAATTTCAGCCTGAACTTGCATATGAGCAATTGATGGTCTATTCCACAGTCTGCCCTTGCCCTTGTTTTGACTGATGATATGGAGCTTTTCCACTGTCTCTTTCCACATATATAGTCAATTTGATTTCTGTGTATTCCATCTGTGAAGTCCATTTATATAAACGTTTTTTATGTTGTCTGAAAAAGGTTTGCAATGAAGAAATCACTGGTCTTGCAAAATTCTATCATGTGATCTCCAGCATCATTTCTATCACCAAGGCTATATTTTCCAACTACTGATCCTTCTTCGTTTCCAACCTTTGCATTTGAATCACCAGTAATTATCAATGTATCCTGATTGCATGTTTGATCAATTTCAGACTGAAGAAGTTGGCAGAATTCTTCAATTTCATCATTACTGGCTTTAGTGGTTGATGTATAAATTTAGATAATAGTAGTATTAATTGATTTTCCTCATAGTCGTATGAATATTATAGTTTCACAGACAGCATTGTACTCCAAGACAAATCCTGAAATTTTTTTTTAATGATGAATGCAATGCCATCCCTGTTCAATCTGTCATTTACAGCATAGTAAACCATGTGATTGTCAGATTCAAAACGGCCAATACCAGTCCATTTCGGCTCACTAATACCTAGGATATTGATGCTTATACGTTCCATTTCTTTTTTTTTCCCCCCATTTAATTTTTGACAATTTCCAATTTTCCTAGATTCATACTTTGTACAGTCCATGTTCTAATTATTAATGGATGTTTATAGCTGTTTCTCTTCATTTTGAAGTGTATTCCAGCAGTAAATGAAGGGCCTAAAAGCTAAAGCTTTTAGAATAAATTCCATTAACGTCATCACGGTCAACTGTATTTTGAGGAGGCATCTCTTGCCTTGTATTCTGAGTGCCTTCCAACCTGAGGAGATCATCTTACAGCACAGTATCTGACAATATTTTAGTACTTTTCATCTTGTTTCAATATTCAATAATCTGGTGCTGAGAGTGTTCCACTGTTATTCATAAAGTTTTTAGAGACTAAATATTCAGTAGTAGTCTGTCTGTCCTTCTTCCTAGTCTGTCTTCATCTGGAAGCTCATCTGAAACCTGTCCACCATGGTTGACCCTGTGGGTATTTAAAATACCCGTAGCATAGTTTCCAGATTCACAGCAACATGGAAGCCACCACAGTATGACAAACTGGCCATGGTGGAAAACTGTTATTAGCAAATCCCAAATACCAGTTATCAAACTACATAGACCTAACCCATCAGAATTTCTAGACCTGCAGCCCTAGATTCTGGTTTTAATGAATTGCCCAGTTCTTGTGATTGCATATTTAAGTTTAAGAACTGAAACGGAACACACTCTAAAAGTGAATCTATTAGGTTTAAATACTCAAGCATAATTAAGTAGTTGGGACTGCTGATGTCAGTGTGTTAACCCCTTGCTGCTGACAACAGAAAATATCAGTCCTCCAAATACTAACAATAATTCTTTGTGGTTAGCACTTTCTAAATGTTTTTTACAGAAATACCTCATTTGAATATCAACAGCCACTACTCCAGGAATCACTGTTAGCATGAATGTCAGCAGGTCACTTTAGCATCATTAACAAGTTCTGTGTTCTTTTCAGCTAGCCACACATACCGTTCTTGAACAGCTTGGGAGTAAGCCCCAACATTCAATGTTTTCCTGATCAAGTCACAGACATGAGAGCTCTCTCCTGGACATCGAGGGAGGCCAAAAACACCTGCAGGGGGTAAAAGACAAATAGCCTTCAATAATAAAATACTGAATTAAAAAAATAAAGACAAAGTTCTTCAAGAATCAAATATTCAATACCTACTATGTGTAAGGCATTGTAAGAGTACAAAAACAAGACTCAGACCCTGATTTATTTCTCACATCGGTAATGTATTGAAAATTAGTTTCAAGTTAAACTTCTTCCTGGGGTTCCCACTCTTTTATACCTCAGGACCTTTGCACCTGCTCTTTCATGAGATGTGCTTCTCTTGCTGCTTCACATGGCTGAGCTCCTTCTCATGTCTCAGGTCTTAACTTACAGCAGCGGGATCTGACGATTCTGTCTAAAGGAGATCTTTCTCTCACCCCTTTCTCCTACACCCACTTACACCTATTATCAACCTCATCATTGTTGTTGTTGTTGTTGCTGTTGTTGTCAGGTGCCATCGAGTCGGAACCTACTCATAGCGATCCCATGCACAGCATACCACCTTCTAAGAACCAGGAATAGTTCTGAGCACATATGGGCCATAATTCATCTAACACTAACAACCACTCTGTAGAATTGTTGTTGTTATTGTGTGTCATCTAGTCAGTTCTGACTCATAGGGACCCTGTATAGGGTTTCTGAGGAGCAGCTAGTAAGTTTGCACTTTGTGGTTCAGTGCTGATCCTACAATGTCACACCACCATACCAGGAGTCCACACTGCGGAACAGATATCATTATTTGTCTCATATTACAGATAAAACCCAAACCATACTCACGCCATCAAGTCTGGCTCACAGTTACTCCATAAGACACAGTCGAACTACCCAGAGGGTTTCTAAGGCTTTAAATCTTTACAGAAGCTGACTGCCCTATCTTTCTCCTACAGAGTGGCTGGTGGGCTCCAAACACCAACTTTTTGGTTAGAACTTAGAGCTTTACTGTGCCACCATGGCCCCTCCTATCCATCATGTGGTTGTTGTTAAGTGCCCTCAAGTCAGTTCTGACCCATAACGACCCTGTACAGGGTTTCTGAGGCTGTAAATCCTATCCATCATAACACAGATAAAATCCTATTCCAAAGACATTCTCTTCCCCAAAAGTATGTAATTCTGCTTAAATAGAAAATTTGTTGTTTTTCAAAAGGTTTAATCTCTATTGTTAATTTTATAAACAAAAAAAGTGAGGCACTAAACTTTAGTAGGAGTCCTGGTGTGGTGCTGTATGATAAACACTGGATAGCAAGGTCGGTTTGAACCTCGAGGTTGGTGGTTCAAACTTTCAAAACTTTGCTCCATGGAAATCCTATACAAGGTCACTATGAGTCTGAACCAATTCGACAGGACAGTGCCAATGTCAGAAAACAGAAAAAGTCATTATATTTTCCTAAGTCCTTAACTACTACATGTCACGTGGCTACAACTGTCTCACCACCAAATTATATCAATTAAATCTGGAATCTGATATCTTTCCTTTTCCTTCATTGTTATTGTTGTTGTTAAGTGCCATCGAGTCGGTTCCGACCCATAGCGACCCTGAACAGGGTTTCTGAGGCTGTAAATCTTTACGGGAGCACAAAGCCTCATCTTTCTCCCGCGGAGCAGCTGGTAGTTTCGAACTGCTGACCTTGCGGTCCGCAGCCCAATTCATACCCACTATGCTACCAGAGCTCCTTTGAATGCTGGCTAATTTGATCATCATAAGCAGGAGACACAAGACTGCGAGAATGGCTGACTTCTTGCACTAATATAGCAGCCACATGGGTTACAAAAAGAAGAAAGACAGCAAAATAGCCAAAATTACCTTGATGTTGTCCCCCAATAGAGATGAGATTGATCATGGGAGGTGATGGGCATCTCTGAGCCACTGCTCTCCTAGGTGAAAAAAAAGATAAGGCCCCCAGCTCTGACTAATGGATGGAAATGTACGTTAAACACCAGTTCTACAGATGAAGCTACTTAATCCTCAGTGGTTCCCAAAATCATAAACTTCACAAATTTCCTCTTATTTGGCCAAACATAATGTTAATTCTTTCATAAAAAAGAAAGCTTTTAAGTTTCATAAAGCTTTTTACATGGACATATTTTAGTTTAGTTTCCCTTCCAAAAGAATTAGAGAAGTGAATAACTCTGAGTAATTGAAAAAAAAATCCATTCCATGTAAGTGGTGCTATGTGACAGAAAGAGACTTACAGAAACTGGCCTCCCTGGGAGAACCCCATAGCATTGTAGCCTTGTTGCAATTTTGGATCCTTGGCAAGTGTCTGACACACTGTCGATACTTGGGAATTGACATTCAAGAAGAAGCTGTTTTCCATATCCTAAAAGTGGAGCCATAGAGATATAAAAAATTAGGACTTAAAACAACCAGCATCTTCCTTACAAGGTGAACTAACAAGGTTGGGATGCTCACATAAACAACCGGCATCTTCCTTACAAGGTAAACTAACAAGGTTGGGATGCTCACATAAAAGTTAAGTGCCACTGTTTGATTTGCTGCTAAAAATGTATCAGCATTTTAAAGATACATTCTATGAAGCCTGTCAGTAAGCCTTCAAAGAAATAGCTTTGGGAAGGGCCTTACCTCTATCAGTGTCTTCCCAATCTCCAGAGATAAGACGTAAATTCCAGGTATTTTCTTCTCTACCATTTTTTTAACAGCACCCATGCTTAAGGGATTACAACAGCTGTCTCCTAGTCAACCAAAACAATGATGAAAACTCATGAATCAAAACAACATTATATCAAGAGGCAAAGGCACAGAGACCAAAGTTTTATTAGTGCTTACTAGAGTCAGGAGGGAGGGGAGACGGAGGAACCGACAGTTTCAGTTTATGATGATGAGAAGTTTGGCAATGATTACGGATGATAGCAGCACAGCAAGATTAATGGATATCCACTCCTCACTTGTCAATATGCTGAGGTTCCTAAGAACTGACCAAAGAACAGGTCACGGAAAATAATCCTTCTGTGAAAATCAAGGATGACCACATCCGGTCACAAGATGGAAAATGGCTGAATCGTTACAGAGCTGCCAAATCACTGAGAATCATGGTCCGGTCAGCTTGACACACACCCTGAACCATCACAACCAGCCCTGCTCTCCCCTAGCAACTTGGAGTTCATTACTGCCAAAAGTATGTCATTAACGCACAAGACAGAATGCAGACTTTCTTACTATTGTAGATGAGAAATGCCATATGAGATAGATAATAAACAAGATGATGTGATTAATATCATTAAATTGCATATGCTAAAAAGTTGGATTGGCAAATGTTGTGTTATATATAGCTTTGTAACAATAAAAAAACAAAAACAGCAGAGACTTAGCAGAAAATGTAAAATGAAAAGGTTGGTTGTCTTTGTCGATTTCATTTTCAAGATTAGATTCAAAAATAAATAAATAGCACCTAATTGTCCTCTGTTACAATCTGGAGAAACCACTGGTGTGTTAATACCTTCTTTGGCTTTCATGCTGAGGTGACTAGTAAAATATTCTTAAAATTTAAAACCAAACAAAATTGACATTTTTCAGTTAAAAATCTGGTTTATAAAGTAACAAAAAGTTTCAAAAAGTCCACTGAGACAACAAATTTACAATACAAAATAAGCACAGGTCAGTTATATGGAACATTTGGGGTTAAAAGACTCTAAAGAGTTTGGGAATCTGATGTCCCTTCAGGATCAGACCTATCATAACAGCAAGTAAGACACAAATTTTGTGCCTCAGGCACAAAATTTAAGGAAGTACTCACTCTCAGGGTCCTGCAAATACTGATTCTGAGCATGTACAAACTTGAGAGTGATTGTCTCCGTAAAGTTTGCACTCTAGCCACCTCACCTGCCTCAACCTAGTCCCAAGCCCTGTTTCTCTTCCTGTTATCAAGGAGCCAGAACTAAGAACCAAAAGCAACCTCACTGCCAACAAAGTGGGAGTAAATTAAGACCATTTCCCACTTTGATGTCTCATATCATTCACCACACTGAATGGTGATTGCTGATTACAGTCTTCCCTCTGAACTATAAGTTCCCCCAGAGAGAATGGAGCATTTCTCTTGCATCATTTTTAAGCACCCTGTTATGGTCCCAGACCTGACACCTTAATTTTGATGTGTCCATGTTCTTCTTGGATTTTCATTCTCTTGGTATGTTGTGAAGTGTTAATTTTCTTTGAGGTTGCCTTACAGTCCATCAACTTTTCTCTCCATTTAATGCAGTCTACTCTATCCTATAATCGACCTGACCTTCTCACCATCTGGATCTCTGTTCCCACTTGTCCATCTTCCTTTACAT